ATAAAAGATTTTTAAAGTTCATATGAAAGAATAAAAGAGAATGGATAAAAATTATATAAAATAAAAAAAATAAACCAGCAAGGAGGGACTTGCCTTATATATACTGAAATTTAGCATAAAGCTGCAGGAATAAAACAGATTGGCTCTGCCACAGAACGATAGAATAAAGAATTCAGAAATAGATTGGTTGCTCTCTTGATGGTCGTATCTCACTAGATGGGACCTGTGGGAACCATGGTCTAAAGAAAGGCTTCTAGGTAGAGCAGAGGACAGACAGTTCTGGATGGCCAGGACCATGCAAAGTGGGGTGCGCAGGCAGGACAAGGTCCCAGCAGCCCAAGTGGGTTAGTGGAAGATCTTGGGCTTCTCATTCTGCCTCTGCCACTTCCCACGCAAATGCCGGGAGAAGCCAGTTTTCCTCTCTGAGTCCTGGTCTCAGACGAGCAGACATAAGAACATCAGTGCCAGAATTGTCATTGTCATTGTCATCAACACGCCCACCAAGTGCTTACCCAATTCTGCGCCGAATCTCATCGGGGTCTGTGGCTATCACCACGCCAATCAGAGGTTTCTTCTGGTTCTCCCATAGCTGGAAGTGGTAGAAGTGCTGCTGGAAGATGGGGGGCTCGTCCACATCTGTGATGTTGATGAAGACGCGGGCTGTGTTTCTGCTGGAGGTGCCTCTCAGGTATCCGAGGTTGATGGTGGGGTCCATGGCCTCGATGGTGAAGCTGTATTGCCGGATGCGTTCATAGTCCAGGGGCTGCATTACGGGAATGTATGGTGAGCACCTGCTCTGAGCTAAGCAGTTGGCATGTGGTCTTCACAGCAACCCTACAAGGTAGTACTAGGTGGTTGCCCATTTTGTGATGAGAAGCCTGTGGCCCGGACTAGTGATATGTCCAAGGTTATCAAGAGAGAGGCTGGGCCTGGTGTCTGTTTTCAGCTACCCCCATTTCATCTCAGCAGCCTCATGACCGCACCCGAACTTTGGCACTGTGCTTGGCCCTGTTGCAAGTAATGAGGACTTGCAATGTATCAGCCATGGTCCTCCTCCCAGAATAGTGGCTCTATCCACTGGTCCTTAAGGACTTGCCTTTTCTTTATGCCTTTTCCCAAGATGCTTCTCCTCCCCTTCATGCCTAACAAACTCCTGTTCATCCCTCAAGAAGCCAAGCAGAAGGCAATCAGATGCCCTCTCAGAAGCCCCTCCTGACGGAGGTAGTTGCTCCCTGCATGGTGTTGATACATAGCACTCGACACACCCGGCTATCCTTTATGTTTATACGTCTGTCTCTCCCACTCACTGAGAGCTTCATGGACTCAGGAGGCTGTGTTCTCCCCAGGGTATCTTTAGTCCCCAGCATGGGGCAGGGCCAGAGAGGGACTCAGGCCCAGGACTCTGAGTCTTCTACATGGCAATCCCGGAGGCATTCTTATGCCCCTGACAGGACTTTTCCCTCCTCTCCCAGATTCAGTGGATCTGACTTCTCTGTCAGAAAGAGCCACTGTTCTTGGCCACCCATGTCCTGTCCCCAGGCACTCATTGTTTTCTTACCTGCTGATGGCTTTTTACTGGCCAGGACACAGTGCAGGCCAGGAAGTGCCAGGGAGTTAATGCCCCCAGGAGCAGCCCTCAGTCAACAATGCGGGGGGTTGGTGTATAAATACCCCAGCTCCTTTGCCCTCAGCTCTGCAACTCTGAGATGTGTTCCATACTGTGCCCCAGAGGTACCCACTTGCTTACCCTCCAATTAATGAGCCCAGTATTAACTTCCTTCTTTTCACATGTTGCCATTCCTGGGGCTTCCTGGGATCACCTCCCACATAAATGATTTATAACCAAATCCTTGTGTCAGGGTTTGCTTCAGGGGTAACCCAGCCCGAGACACTGGGCTGCAGTCTCCATGAGCACATGGCCATCTCTGTGCTGACCCAGAATGTTCTCCTTTGCTGGCCTCTGGCTCAGGAGCAGCCCCTGGGCAGAGGATGCCAGGAACCCCAAGCCCCACATCTGATGTCATTGCCACAGGCAGGCCTACAAACCTTCATGGGCTTGATGATGCCCTCGTTGTGGGTGGGGTCTGTCTCGATGGTGAAAGTGTCCCTGTACTCGCCTTGCACGATGTTGTACTTGGTCATCCGGTTCTGGGGCTCATCTGGGTCCTCAACAAACAGAGAGCCCAGGGGGCTTCCCACGCGGATGTCTTCAGGCACCACAAATGTGTACATGGCTGATGCAAAGAGGGTGCCCCAAAGGGCAGTGGGTTAATCAGATAGACAAGGTGATTATACCTATATATTATCCTACCTTATTTTGATACATGAAATGGATATTGATGAAATAATGATAACAACAATGATAATAATACCCCTGGGATTCTGGCAAAGAGGTCTGCCCTATCTGTCCATTCCTCCATCCCTCTATTCATCCAAGTAGTTATTGAGCACCTACTGTGTGCCAGTCATTTTGCTAGGGGACCTATCAGTTGACAAGGGACAAGTTCTGCCTTCAGTGAGCATTTGCCGCGCACAGTGAGGTCACTCCAGGACAACTGGCCTGTCTTTGTGTGGCCGAGCCTCTGAGTTGTGACATCCAGCACCAGAGGATGCAAGTGGACGGAGCCATGTGACTTTCTGGCCCGGCCTCAGCCAGGGCATGGGAAAAGCTGTTGGCAGATATATTTTGGGGGACATCAGTCTGTGGGTGGCGTCAGAGCCCAGCCCTGGCTCTGGATACAGAGCTTTGCTGTCCCTCTGCTCACTGGCTTGTGGGAATTTTCTAGCTGGGGCTTGAGTCTCAGGGCCTGGATTTTCCTGAGCCCATAGGATCTGGGTGAAACTGCTCCTATCTGTAGTGGGGCTCTGAGCACAGGAGTAGCATCCAGCAGGGGGCATGATTCCCTCTCATCTGTGTGAATGTGGTTCAGGATGAAAGAAGGTCCCCTCCCTGCACCAAAAGAACTCCTCTGGGCCTTAGGTCAACCCTGGGGTGGGTAGAGAGGGAGAGGGAGTCAGGGCTCCTCCCCCAGAGCCCCAAGTTATTGAGTCTGGAGTGCTCCAACACCCAACCTCCCCAGCACCCTAAAGGAGGGGCTCACTCTGGGTGAAGATGGGGAAGTTGTCATTGACGTCTTGCAGGGTGACCAGCACAGTGGCCGTGCCCGAGTCCCCCCGGAGGCCCCGGATGTCTTGTGCCTCCACCACGATCTCGTATCTGGCTTGCATCTCTCGGTCCAAGTTATTGGTTGTCGTGAGAATGAGTCCTGTAAAAGTGTCCCAGCAGGAGCCATGTTACCTGGGAGCTTATGGAAAATACTGATGCCTGGGCCCTACCCAGAGAGAACCTGACTTAAAAGCTCCCCAGTTGATTCCACTATGCAGCCATGGCTGAGAACCACTAGTACACATCCACTATTTCCACACCCTGCACTGTGAGGCCAAAGCTGGCCTAGCAATTTGGTACAATATTGGTCCTACACACCTGGAGCATTGTGTT